CCGCGTGCTCACCCCTCCCCCGCCCCGGGCCTCGCCGGGGCGGCCGCGCTTCCCCCTTACACCATGGACATCCCCTGTCACCCCCCCCATTCGCGCTCCCAGGCGCTGGTGGAAGGGCAGGGACACGCCGTGCCCGGCCCCGGAGGCTGCTGTGGGGGATGGAGGGGGTGGGGAGCCCGGGGGAACCCACCACCACCACTCGCATCCCCACGGATCCCAGGAGCCACCAGATCAGCCACAGCCGGTCCCACAGTCGCGCTTCGCAGGCGAATCACTGTCCCCGCACCCCTTTGCTGTGTCACCCGCCAGCGGCTCGGCCCCCGGTCCTGTGCAGACCCCGGGGGACAGGAGCTCGGGACGAGGTCCCACAAACCATCCAGCCGCCCGTGGCCTTACCCGGGATGAGCGCATCCCGGGCAGGAACGCTGCGTGCGAAGGCATCACGCCTAGAAGCGCATGTATAAATCCTGGTGGTACTGTACATGAAATGCTCTCGGCCCCGTGTCACTCTTACCCCGAAACACCCGGAAAAAGAAGAAAGCAAAACCCTACGCTCTAATAACGCTGAGGTGATTTCGGGGGGATTTCCTGGCAGCAGAGCTGGCTCTGTTCCCTCTCCTGCCTGCCCAAGGAGTCACCATCACGATGGCGCGTCCTCGCTCCTGCCACACTCCGGCTGGAGCCAGGGAGTTCAAAGCCGATGAGCAAGCCACGTCGACACTGTCACCACGGCACCCACTCGAGACACACACACAAACACACTGCGACGCTGACCCACGACCCGTCCTGCAGCGTGTTCCCCAGGTCAGGCAGGCCAACCTCCGCCAGATACAGAGGGGGAGCAACACGAAACAAGTTCTTTTCCCCCAAAGCCTCCAGCCTTCTCCCAGCGCAGCTCTTTGACCACGGTCTGTCCCTGTCTCTGTCCTTCTTGAGAGCGAGACAGTGCCAGGGCATTTCTTGTTAGCTGGTGAAGCATCTTCCCGAGGGCCAAGGCTGAAGGCTTTAGGAGGTGATGGGGAAGGAGAAGCAGGATCTATGCTGTTGATCCAAGGACTGTGCCCGGAGGGGTTGGGGGACCCCAGCCCGTTTTCCGTGCCCGCAGCCTTTCCCCCTTCCTCAGGGCCGGCGGTGCCCGCTTTGCCCTGGCGCACGTTGGTACCACACAGCCGGGCTGAACCCCACTGGGCAGGGAATGTCACACCGTGCTGGTGGCACGGCAGCAGCAGAGGGGGGACCAGAAAGATATTTTGGGAACCCACTGTTTCCAAACTGCTGGGGACTCGGAGCCTGTCTTGAAACCGTTCAGACCTAGAAGGTCTTTAGAAAATCTGAGAGCAGCGCCCCGGGGGAGGTAAGCAACGCGTGGGACTGGTCTCGTACAGCCCTTCTCCCCCCCCTCCCCGGCTCCCCGTCGCTCGGTGCCCGGTGCGAAGCGCGGCTCAGGGCCAGAAGCTCTTCCCTCCCTGTGCCGAGCTCAGCCCTCGCCCCTACAGCAATGATGGCTTTAAAGACGAACGATTCCGGTTTGTACATCTGCCTTGGAGAAATAAGTACGGAGAGTCCCGGACGGAACGGTCTGAGGCGCGGGAAGGCTCCTTTCGAGTTTCCTAAGACCTTACGAAAAGGAAACTTGCGAAAACCGGGAGCCGGTACCAGCGCAGCCCTGGCCACAGCAACGCACCTGGGCCAACACCGCCTGTGTCGCAAACGCCCTTCTTGCAATATTTGTCCTGCCCGGGTGTCACCCTCTTGCCCACCGTGAGCGCAAGCGGCGTGCTTATGGGAACGACACCTCCCCACGCCACTCTCCAGCAAAGAAAATACGTGACCAGCGTCTGACACTTCGTTATTTCGATTTCCCGGCGGTAGGAATAAACGGGGGGAACCCCAAGAGGCACACCCCCTTCCCTCCAGAGTCAATGGCCACACGACAAACCTACCTGGCAGACACCTTCGCGGGGACCAGGAGTCCCTGAAGGTCCAGAGATGGGGCGGGAGATGGGAAAATGGCACGGCTATATGTGGGGTCTGGCCCACATGCCCCCACTCACGACCCTCCGTGGGCTCACGCAATGCTGCCCCCCCCC